CCGCCGCGAGACACAAACTGAATTGTTCTCAGGTCCTTTCGGGTCTCCGTATTAACCGTTGAAACACAGCGTAACCGCAAACCCTGGTTTCCTGGCCTTGCCCGAACGCTTCCAAACATGCCCATGTGACTGGCTATCCGGAGTGGCTGGGATCCCATACTTCCATCGTGGCCTGATCTGGACCCGATGCCCATCCTGGAACCGCTATCTTGCGCGCCTCTCGGGCCATGTTGAAGGCCCTGGTGCCCGACCCAGAGGCCAACATCGTCGAATAACCTGATGTTTCATGTGACTTTCACATTCTCGACTTTTCGGTCCCACGAGCGCCCCCAGCGCCTGCCAAATCGGTTCGTTCTGCAGAAGATGGCGCGCATACTGCGAGTTTTTTTGGTGTCTTGGAATCATCCAGTTGAACGTGCCAAGCGGTCTCACGCCGTTTTCTCGAAGAACAAATGCCTCCGACCCATCAGTTCCTGAGTGCTTCAAGGGACCTGCCCGTCCGACCCCTCAACAAATCGGAGGGATTCAATAGGAGCTTCCCGCACACCACATTCTCCGGATGCCTAACAATCTTACACCTCCGAAGCCTTCCTTGAGCGTCTCGAGGACGCAATTCCGTCCTCCTCACCTCCTCCTTCTCCAGCTGTTCCTGCTCATTCTGCGGCCGCCTGCCACGAGTGGCCGCCCGCCCGGTTCAGGCCCGCCCGACCGCCGGCCAGGGTCCGTCCGCCCGCCAGGGTCCGCCCGCCCCCGGCATCGCGGCGCCCTCCCCGAACCGACCTCGATCTTGTACATCCGGTCCGACCGCACCGGCAGCGAGCACCCGGGGGGCCTGCGAATTATGGGAAACCCGTAGGTCGCCAGAACCCCCTGGGGAATCTGGCGACCTATGGGCCTCCCACGCTCCTGGATTCTGGGGAACCCGTAGATGGACGACTGCCCATGGTGACGGGGGGCCGCCTTCGGAGGAGGCGCTCTGGCTCATCGGAGGCGTCAGCCCCGCTCTGAAAAGCCGGTCCCATCCGAGGGGCTCTCTGTGCGCCGCCCAGAGCACAAGACGTGCTGATGATGCTGATGATGCTGACGATACTGATGCTACTGACGGTCATGACGATGCAAATGATGATGAGGATGACGGGGATAATGATGATGACGATGACGATGACGACGGCGACGACGATGATGATGATGGTGATCATGATTATGAGGATGGTGATGATGATGGACATGATTATCATGCCGTTGCTGATGCTGATTGTGATTATGATGGCGCCGACGGTGATGGGTTGTGATGGTGATGATGAGGATGAGGATGATGACAATGATGAGGATATGGCCGAGACTGATGATGTCGGTGCTGCTGAAGATGATGCTGATTATGAGTCTAATGATGAGCACGGCGACGGTTATGATGGTGATGACGACCATGATGACGATGATTCTGAGGATTATGATGAGGATGAAGGCGGGGCAAATAATGTAGATGATGTTGTTGTTAATGATGATGATGACTTTGACGAGGATGATGGATGATGAACATGATGATGGTGATGATGATCATCATGTCAATATGGATGCGGATTTTTGGTAATGATGCCGACGGTGACGGTGACGGTGACGGTGACGGTGATGATGATGATGATGATGATGATGATGATGATGATCATGATGATGACCGTGATGATGACCCCGTCGAGACTGATGATGATGCTGATGATGATGATGATGTTCGACGGTACCTGGGCGGCAACAGTCATGCCGCACGTTTAGTTGTCAGTGGCGTGCACGGCAGCTGCTACAGCGGCAAATTGCCCTGAATGGTTCGCTGCGGTTCCGTGAACCAGCGTCGCTTTGAGCTTATGGTTGGTGTGAAAGGAGAGCACACCAAGGCGCATGGCGGCACTGCGAGTGTGCGCACGCTGCGCAGTTGTATTCGTTGTCGGCACCAAGGCCGAGTGTTAAAAGGGGTGAAGGGGGGAGGGCGAGGAGTTCACCAAGGACAGGGCAGGCGAGGTAGTGTGCGATAGAGTCGGGCTGCTGACTCCAACCAAAATACAGGATATAACTCCACTGACGTGCATGCGGTGTGATGTTGTCCACCCTCCTGCAAGAGTCTTGAGTTGGCTCCATTGCCATGAAGGCTTGAACGTGCGGAGCACCGCAAGGCATTCCGCCCACCACTCACCCACCGTCCCACTAATCGAGGCGGAAAGGCCACACGCAGACAAACGCTTAGTGATAGTGATCTCGAAGCCAGGAGGACAGAGCATGATGAGCATGATGCTGATATTGATGAGCATGATGCTGATGCTGATGATGACAATGATGACAATGATGGCCATGATGATGCTGCTGATGATGATGCTGATTATGATGACGATGATGAGTACGGCGACGACGATGATGACGATGATGACACGGATGGCGAGGAGCATTCAGATGATGAGGATGATGGCGATGCTAGTGGTGCAGATGATGTTGTTGCTGCTGTTGTTGGTCATGATGGTGACCATCATCTGACGATGACGGTGACCAGGATGACGATGGAGGAGGGAGGAGGAGAAGCCTGGGCTCGTGGTCGAGCTGCATCAGACCCCCGGGCCGCCTCGGTGGCGGGCGCGGCTCGCCTCGGAGCTCCAGCCACAGCCGAACGCGGCCGGGCTCCGCGGGCGCCAGGCCCTGCCGCCTTGGAGGGAGGAGCACCGGGGGGGGGGGCTCCCTCCCTCCCCCCGTCCTTCCTCCCCTCCTCCCTTCCTTCTCTCTGATCGTTCCTCTCTGGTCCTCTCTGCTCTCTGCTTCCCTCTTTCCTCCATCCTTCCTCCTCCTTCCTTCTCTGCCTTCCTCCTCCTTCTCCTCCTCCTCATCCTCCTCCTCATTCTCCTCTCTCTTCTCCTTTCCCTCCCCCCTCCTATGCAATTGCGGTGCTGGGGTATGCTTTCTGTCCGACAGCCGCATCACGGGGCACTAAAACGGTGCCGCAGGGGAAATGGCCAAGTACTTCCAAATTCGCGGCCTCGCAAATGGCACCACACTTCACGAACCTCGAAGACGGAACCAAGTGCAGCGCCTTCGAGCAACCATGTCTGGGCTTTTGGTTGGCAAGGCAGACGACGCGCCAAAAGCGGCGAACGTTACGACACGGTACTGCGCAGCACCACGCCAGGCTACCGTTTTGTATGTCGACCGCACATGCATAAACAGCAATATAACCAAATACCACGCGGCTCAATATCTCACATCATGGCAGCGTGTTCGGTTGCCTGCATACCCTCAGCAACCGCATCCGAGCTCACAACTCAGGACATTGCGACACATTGCACGGCACGGAACGGCATATAGTCAGGTACCCTTTTATAGCACAGGGGACATTGCACACATCAAATTCGACGAATAACTAATCTTGCGAGACAAATCCCCCCCTCGCCCGAACAATTGCAAACTTTGTCCCTCGTTTGTGCTATCCACCCCCCTGGGAGCGCATACGATATCCGCCCGCCCCCATGCCCCTGCCCTCCCCCCCCCCTCGCTCCTCCCCCCCTCGGGCCTCGAACTCTCAAGCTTCGATGCCCCTCCTACGGCAAGTTCGTGTCGTGCCGAACCCGGCGTTGGTTCCTGACGCCGCGGGAATCGTTCAACCTTGAACGATCGGCCGTTTCCGAAATGTCGAAACTTCAACATCGACCGATTCTGGGTCGCCAACGCCGTTCACCGTTGAACGCTGGCGGGGAGTCGCCGCCAATCGACACGACGCGAACATACCATACCCGATTGCGGGGGGCACAACAACCCCCATCCCCGCGGTTGCGAGGATGCCTCGAGCGGCGGTGCCGCGGACGTGGGGATGTCTCGAGCGGCGGCGCGTCCCAGGGAGGGGGGTATGTAAGGGAGGGGGGCGGGCGCACATAGGACAGCGAGGGGAGAGCATAGCACAACTCGGGGTGGGTGGGTTTGGGAAAATTCTCGGGATCTGGGCAAGCACTCGGGATCTGGGTACGGAATGTTCGCGAAATCGCTGGTATATCAATATTGTGAATTTTCAAAACATAGTTTGTCTTCATTTTTGTTTGTTTATGTATTTATTTAAAATTGTTATTCTTATACAATATCGCATATCCTAAAACGGAAGGGCGGCACATAGCACATGTCTTCAGACAGTTGTGCTATCAATTGGCACCTGACTATAACAAACAATTCAGCAGGTCAACTGCCCCCGCGTCCGAGCCCTATGGCCGCACAGGCAGCACATCACCACCACATGGCGACGTACTGCACCAGACCAGGCTACCGTTTCAGCGACGCAACGCACCAGTCAGCAACAATGCGGAGCGGTGTGAAGTGACGCAGAGCAGTTCACGACAACGCAAGCCAATCCGAAGCAATGCAATGCACGCGGCAACGGGCGGGCAACATGGCGGACACGGGGTGGCAATGGGCGGCAACGAAGCGGCCACAAGGTGGGCACGACCCCCCAATCAGGAAAACGCAGCTGCTTCCCAACACACAACTGTGTCAATCAGAACTCCTTTATATCGTCTGTGGGACGGCTTGGAACATCACAACACGCACGATCGCAGATGGAACCGTGATCGAACAAGTGGAACACAGATCATTGAACGGCTTTGCCTTCACGGGGAATTGCGCTTCAAGCCTTCAAATCCATCGTAGCTCCTGGCGCCAAGGATTTGGGCAGTCCAAGGTTCCGGCGGATGCCCGCGACGCATGAATGGCAGGGCAGCGGAAAGGCTGCTGTAAGAGGGGGGAGCACACTCGGCGGTGGACAAACCTCCCTTTAATAAACCACACTTTCGTGAAAACGGCCTAGGACCGAAACCGACGGACCTGGACCCGCAAAAATGGCGGCCGCGACGCCCTCTCGCGAACTGAGAACGGCCAATTCGCTAATCGACGTGTCGGGGTCGGAGGTCTATCAACCTCCGACACAAAGAGAGCAGGACGCCCCAGGTGAGCACGCACGCGCGCTCCAGCCGCCCGCCTTCCTCTCACTCGGAGGGCCGCTCCGCGTATTTCCTGGCGAGGCTCTCGGCGGGGAGGCGGGCGGGGAGGAGGCCAGCCAGCCGAGACCCTCGGGTGCCCGCTGCCCGCCGCTCGGGCGCGGGACGCGCCGGCCATTGGCGCCTAGCTGTTATCAAAACCGCTGATGTTCTGCTTTGTTAGACGAGCGCGTCCCACTACTCGCTGAGCATCTACTCGCACATGGCCTGGATCCGCCGCGAGGGATCTACGATAGATTTCATCGAAGCGCACAGATGTTTTTGTTGCACTCGTTTGCGAGTAGGCACTTTCCGAATCATGGAACGCGCTCGGTGATTTGTTCCAGATTATCTGCAACTATTTCTGTAGCCCCCCTTGTATCCGCCCGGGCGCTCTCGCCTCGGCGCCGGCTGGACCGACCACACCAGTCCCCCAACAACAGCAACGCTCCTGTGCGATACTTCCGAGAAGCCCTGGCCAGAGAGGGCCCGAAGCGCAGGAAGGGCGCTCCCGCCTGAGAATTCCTCGCAATTAAAGACACCGCAAGGGCAACGGTGGTCTTTCAGAGCAGCCTTGCCGCTACTTGCGGATGCCGGAACGGCCGTTTCGCTTGAGACTTCCTCGTAATTTAGCACCACAAGGAGGTCCTTCAGAACCAGGCTGCCGCTATTCGCAGATGCCGACGCTGGCTTTTCGATTGGGACTTCTTCGGGAGTCAGCACCGCAAGGTCAGGTAAGGCAGACATAGAAGTCCTGGCTCCGAAGAACCCGTCGAATGGGGCATGCTATCAACACAGCGCAAACATCATCCTTGGGGCTGGTACCCTGTCTTTTAGCAGAGAAAATATTCATCCTCGAACTGTGCCCCTGCCCCCCCGGCTGCAACAACAACGGCTCCCGACTGATACATCTTCGCACTTTATTCCATAATCGCGCTCTCGCGCGAAACTTCTTTACAACTTTTGCAGGAATCGCGCTCTCGCGTGGGACTTCCTCGCAATTTATTAGACGCCGCGCCCTCGACACTCAGGAATCACGCTCTCGCTTTGGCCTTTCTTACGATTTACTTGGGAATCACGCTATCGCGGTTCATGCAAACACACACGCTTCAACAACCCGCCTGCTCGACCTGGCCGCCTGGGCCCGCCTTCCCGACCCGCCCGTTCGGGTCTGCCCGCCCGATCTGCCCGTCTGGCACTGCCACGTGTTTTCTGTTCCTAGCTCCCCTCCCGCTACTTTTTCTCGTGCTCCATCCTCCTCCCTCTCCCTTGTCCCGTCCTTCCATCCGTCCTCTCTTCCCCTGCCTTGGGGGGCTGCACGCGCTCTCACGCGAGACCTCCTCATTCAACACTCAAGAATCACGCTCTCGCCGTCGCTGTATTCATGGTTGATTTGGGAATCGCGCTGTCGCTGGGAACTTCCTCGCGATCCAAGCAAAACGCACACTTCAACAACCCGATTGCTCGACCTGGCCGCCTGGGCCCGCCTTCCCGACCCATCCGTTAGGGTCTACCCGCCCGACCTGCCCGTCTGATTCTGCCACGTGTTTTCTGCTCCTAGCCCCCCTGCCTGCTCATTTCTCTCGTGCTCCATCTTACTTCCTCCCCTTCCATCCATCCTCTTTCCCCTGCCTTAGGGGCTGCACTAACTGCGCGTGCCAGGTAAGGAAGATCTGCACCAAAGGGGTACGATCGAAGACGAAAAGGGCGGGTACCGACGGTTTGGGATATACGTGTTGGGTGGCACACGGGCAGATATGAGCGAACAATATTAGCATGATTGCTGTCATTGTTGTTGCTGTTGGTTGTTGTTGAGTTCTCACGTCTGAAACATAATCATCGTTGATCCCCCTCTTCAGTAACGATGATCGTTTTTCAATTGAAGTGCTCTCCTCGGGGCTCCCACCCTGTTTTTTACAAGGGGAAGCTGGGTGTCACCAAACTGTGCCCCTGGTCCCTGGTTTATAACAACAGCTGCTCCCGCTTGATTCTTCTTCACAATGTATTCTAAATTCGCAGTGCCGCGCGGGACTTCCTCGACATCCATACAGGAATCGCGCTCTCGCGTGGGAATTCCCCACAACTTGTTCAAACGCCGCGCCCTCGACACAGCCCACAAGGGCCCCAAACGCGCCCACAGAAGCCCCAACACGCTGCCCACTGAGGCCTGCGGACACGGCCCACAGAGGCCCCAAGCGCGTCCACAGAGGCCCTAGCACTTTGCCCACTGAACTCACATCCTGCTAATTCCGTGCTCCATCCTTCTCCCTCCCCCTTCCATCCGTCCTCTCCTCTGTTGTAGGGGCTGCCCTAGATGCGCGCGGCAGGTAAAAGATATATACTCCCAGGAGGGGTGCGATCGAAGACGAAAAATGTGGGTATCGAGGTTTTGGGTTATACGTGTTGAGTGGCACGCGAGCAGGTCAGAGCGAACAGGTTCAACATGATTGTTGTTGTGGTTGTTGCTGTTGTTGTTGTTGCTGTTATCGTTGTGTTGTTGTTGTCGTTGTCGTTGTCGTCGTCGTCGTTGTTGTTGTGGTGTTTGTTTTTGCTGTTGTTGTCGTTTGCTGTTTGCTGTGTGTTGTTTATTGCTTGTAGATTTTTGTATATTGTGTTGATTGTTGTTTGTTGTTCGTGTGTGTGGTGTTTGTTGTTTGTTGTATGTTGTTGGTTGATTGTTGTTAATGTTGGTGTTGTAGTTGCCTGCTGTTGTTGTAGTTGTAGTTGTAGCTGTAGTTGTAGTTGTTGTTGTTGTTGTTGTTGTTGTTGTTGTTGTTGTTGTCGTCATTGTTGTTGTTAAGATGGAATTCTCGCACTAAAAGTGGTGCACTAGCTGTTAAGATGGAATTCTGCACCAAAAGTGCTCCCCTCGGGGCTCGCACCCTGTTTCTTATCAGGGGAAATCTTCGTGCTCAAACTGGGCCTCTGGCCCCCGAACTAACAAAAAAAGTGCTCCCCTCGGGGCTCGCACCCTGTTTCTTATCAGGGGAAATCTTCGTGCTCAAACTGGGCCTCTGGCCCCCGAACTAACAAAATGACGGCTCCCGCCTTCTTCCTCACAATGCATTCCGAAATCGCACTCTCGCGCGATACCTCCTCGCAATTTATGCAGGAATCGCGCTCTCGCCTGGGATTTCTTCACAATTTATTCAGACGCCGCGCCCTCGACACTCAAAAATCACGCTCTCGCTGTCGCTTTATTCATAATTGATTTGGGAATCGCGCTGTGGCTCGAAAACTTCCTTTCGATTCATGCAAGACTCACGCTTCAACAACCCGCGTGCTCGACCTGGCCGCCTGGGCCCGCCTTCCCGACCCGCCCGCCGGAGTCTGCGGGCCCGATCTGCCCGTCTGGTTCTGCCACGTGTTTTCTGCTCCTAGCCCTCCTCCTGCTCATTTCTCTCGTGCTCCTAGCCCTCCTCCCTCCTCCCTTGTCCCTTCCTTCCATCCGTCCTCTCTTCCCCTGCCTTAGGGGCTGCGCGAAATACACGTTACAGGAAAGAAAAATATACCCCCAACGGGGGCACGGTCGAAGACGAAGAGGGCGTGTATCGAAGGTTCGGGATATACGTGTTGACTGGCCCGCGAGCAGATAAGGGCGAACAATGGTGTAATGATTGTTGTTGATGTTTTGGTTGTGGTTGTTGTTGTTCTCTCATTCCAGAGAACACTTCTTGTTGATCCCTTTGCCCTGTGTCCATGGTTTTTGCTGCAATGAAAATGCTCCTCCCGGGGCTCGCACAACATTTCTTACAACATAATAGATCTCAGACTGGGTTCCTGGACCCCGACTTACAGCAACAACGGTTCCCGCCTGATGCCCTTCACAAGTTATTCGAAATCGCGCTTCCGCGCGGGAGCTTCTTACAATGCATCCAGGATTCGCGCTTTCCCGTTGCACTTCTTCGCCCCCGCTCTAGACTCAAGCATCACGCCCCCGCTCTAGACTTCCTGACGATATACTTAAGAATCTCGTTATCGCTGGAGGCTTCCTCGCGAATCATGCAGGACGCACGCTACAGCGACCCGGTCCGCCCGCTCGGCCCGCCCGTCTTGTTCTGCCGATTGCATTCCTGTTCCTGACCTCCCTCCTGCTAACCATTTTCGTGCTCCATCTCCTCTCTCCCCTCCCCATTTCCTGGGGCTGCGCCAACTTCGGCTTTCGGTGGGGCTCCCCATGGGGCCACGCAGCGTCCGAGGGGTGTGCCAAATGGGCGCGGTGGACGCATGCGAGCGCTGGCATTTGGGCCTTCGGTGTAGCTCACCCGGAGGCCACGAAACATGTGAGGGGTGTGTACAGAGAGGGTGCGGTGGGCGCATGCGACCGCTGGCATTTAGGCCTTCGATTGAGCTCCATAGGGGGCCACGAATCGTATGAAAGGTGTTTCCAAAATGGGTGGGGTGGGTTCATGCGAACACTAGAATTTAGGCCTTCGGTGGAACGCCCTATGGGGCCACGCAGCGTCTGAAGGGTGTGCCAAAATGGTCGCGGTGGGCGCATGCGAGCGCTGGCATTTGGGCTTCTGGTGGGGCTTCCAATGAGGCCACGAAGCGTGTGAGGGGTGTGCCGAAATGCGTGCGGCGGGCGCATGCGAACGCTGACATTTGGGCCTTCGGTGAAGCTCCCCATTGTGGCCACGAGCCGTGTTAGCGGCGTCTTAATATTGGTGCGGTGGGCGCTGGCACATGGGCCTTCGGTGTAGCTCCCTATGGGGCAACGCAGCATGTGAGGGGTGTGCCAAAATGGGTGCGGTGGGCGCGTGCGAGCGCTGGCATTTGGGCCTTCGGTGTAGCTCACCCGGAGGCCACGAAACATGTGAGGGGTGTGTACAAAGAGGGCGCAGTTGGCGCTGCGACCGCTGGCATTTAGGCCTTCGATTGAGCTCCATAGGGGGCCACGAATCGTATGAAAGGTGTTCCAAAATGGGTGGGGTGGGTGCATGCGAACACTAGAATTTAGGCCTTCGGTGGAACGCCCTATGGGGCCACGCAGCGTCTGAAGGGTGTGCCAAACTGGTCGCGGTGGGCGCATGCGAG